GCGCCGCGTGGGGAACATTCAAGAATATCGAGGGAGTAGCAAAAAGACAAGGAACATCCGGCTCCGCGCTCACCTTTCGACACTGCTGTTCTTCCAACTTTGACGTACGCCTCGGAGACTTGGACTCTACGAATGCAGGATGAGCATGCTGTCAGCGTTACTCAATGCGCTTTGGAAAGGACGATGCTCGGAATATCCCTATACACGCAAAAGCAAAAGGGAATCCGGAGTACCGAGCTCTGTCAATGAACGAAGATCATGGATGCCGCTGATTGCGCTAAGAAATCGAAGATCAGATGGGCCCGACACTTTATGCGATATAGTGATGGCTGTGGACCAGGGCGGTTACAGACTTCTTCACGAAAGCTCTGAACGAAAGGAATGTTGAACCTCGTGTCCTTGAAGCAAGGACGACTCATTGGACCACTCTGGCTCGTGACAGGGACGAATGGAGATCTCACTGGCGCCCGCTCGAGGAAATCAACGGTCAACGGGACGACAGGTGATACAGTGATATCGTAGTGAGATGACTCTTATCACTTTATGAACATATGCGGAACACGAAACGTTCGGGAACAAAAACGTCTCTCATAATTGTAACGACTAATAAAAAAAGATTTCGCGTTGTTTTACAATCACTTACCGATTCAGAAGGAAAACAGAATTGCGTAGGCGTCTCAAAATAACCCCGACGAGTGTTTGATCAGCTGACGACGTGTCATGAATTAGAGAGAAAGTCTCCCAATCTAACAGCACAAAACTAAAAATAGGTAGGTAGTAAACCACACCACAAGAGTATAAGCATAGGTTGAGATCATGAGCTATTACGAATGCGGTCATGATCATAATTTTGAACGGCAGCAAGAAATGAACAACATTTGGCTGGATTAGCCTGGTAGAAGCAGGGATGCTCATTACTTTTACGCACTTTTGTGGAGGTGAAGTGGATTATATGGCTTCATGACTTTTGAATAATGCCTACGAATCGACAATCAACAGGGTTGGTCTTGACTGGTTTGAAGCCGCAATGCACGATCGTATCCATTCTAAACACACGAAGGGCTCCTGGTTTAGGGGCCATCTACTAAAACTCAAGGCGTAATGGCGAAAGAGTTGGCGGGTGCTTCCTTCAAATTTCTTGGAGCAAGAGGTCGCAGAGACTGTGCAGATGCTCTGAAATTTCACGTTAATGTGATGAGTTGAAAGGATCAAAACTTTCCGTTGGTCGACTCAGCCTCTGGAAAGCGCCTCGTACTCGATTCCCATTCATAGCGTCCTTTAAAATGTATATATGGCTTATGCAATGATTGCGATGAATGTACACGTCAGTGCTTTCGATCTCTCATAAGCGTCTGGTACCAAATAGCCGACCCCGAAGGAATGAGGGCTTGGTGAATGAGGAATGAGGTAATGCGCCACCTGCCACCACGCCGCATTCGTCCCATTGAATATATCATGCACAATTATACAAAAAAATCACATAAACCAAAAAACGATATTGCATGTTTTGGGAAAAAGTTGTCATCATAGCCATCAAAAAGTTGTACAACGCGACAAGTTCAACATAAAAATAAATTCATGGACTGAAAGGAACAAATTCAACCAAATGCCCCTCAAAAACCCGAACCCTGGTCTCTCGACATGAAGTGTCTCCCTTGCCATTGCTCGAAGCCACCGCTGCAGAATTTTGTGCACCCATGCATTGTATTGTAATAATTTAAGCTCTCTATGCTAAGCCTCACCTAAAATTACCGCATAACTCTGTTCAGAGAAACGCTCGGCAAATTTGGAAAGCAGATTTGAGATCAGCATACGACAACACATCTAGCAGTGTAGGTCCCATTCCAAACGGCCGCTTCGACTTTTGATCATTCCCTGGTGAGAACTAAGACCAGACCTCTCTTCCAAAATCCTTTTGCGCTCGAGTCTTTGCATACTTACGAAAGCAGATTTCAGTCCTACCACCTACTATCAGGGTTCCTATTCTACCATCTGTTTCCCTTTCTGATTCAAACATTACGTTCGAGGGAACAGGAATTATGTACTGCTTTTTTCGTTTCTTTTTTCGTCAACACCCTGCTCCTATCTTGTGGGGAGTGCGCGGTTGAGGTCACTTTTTCTCGAGTAGCTCGGCTCATCTTCCATGTTCCAGTCTGGGCTATTCCAATTCAATTCCAGAAAGGCGACGAATAAGGTGGTGACAAACAGACAGAAATATTAAGAAACAGACAAAATGTTTGAGTTCGATGTAATTCTTTACAGTAACTGAGCACACCTAATGTTGCTGATGACTTTGAGTGGTAGACACATAGTGAGGATTTCTTATATAGAAATTCTAATCCTTATTTCCTAGTTTCAAAACAATTTGAACAGAGTCATGAATTTTCCAACTTAGCCCCGCCCACTTTACGAATCTAACCCACTTACTACTCAACCTTTAGCCTTTCTCCTCTTCCCAAAACATTCTTGAAAAGTCATGAACGATCGACTTTGGGCCCGCCGGCTCTAGTGCAAAGCCCGAATTCTTTGTAGATTTGACTATATACTGTGAGCTTCACCCACTTTCTTCCCCGCTGTGAAACGTTTTTTTGAATAGAGATATGAAGTTTTGTTGTTTGCCTCGCTTAATGTAAGGATTTGACTACATTCCTTCTATAACCTCCAACCACTTTTTTCTGCTCTATAGAATGTTTTGGACATTGTTATAAATTTTTCATCTTAGCCACGTCCACCTCAATGCAAAACTCGCCTATTTCATGGATTTGACCACACTTCTTAAGTAGCTATTCCCCGCCTTCTTCGAATTGTTTTTTCAAACAGCTATGAACTTTTTAACTTTAATTTTTGATTAATTAAATTTTTATTTTTATGAATTTTATTCATTTTTTCATCGAATAATTTTTGGCTGACAGCAAGTGGGTCTCCTACATTTGGTTTGTTGACTCATTCCTAATTTTCGCCTTGTTTCGAGGTGTCTGGGCCTTCCTGAAACCATAATAAGTAGTTTTGCCTTAAGCACTACCTACTGCGGCGCATATCCTGCCCCAGTTCCCCCCTGTTCTGCACTCTGTGAGCGGGATTCCCCTGAGCTCATATATCTCTGTTGTTCTTGTCCTGGGCTTGAACCTCCCGACTTGCACTCGATCTTTCCACGTGCTTCTTCGAATGATACCAATCTTTGTGACAGCGAACCGAACCGACAAAGAAACAAACAGGCAAGGAAAGAGACACACGAAGCTTGTGGTTCATATACAGTAAGGATCGATTATTGAACTTACGTGGAAAGTACCGCTCACTTTGAGAACGCTTCGCCCATAGCAGGTGAGTCTCCTTTATTGATCTGTCGATCCATTACTAGTCCGACCTTTTTTCCTTATGTCTGGGCCTTCCTGGGGCCACATTATGCAGTATCGAATTGAGCACTACCCTTACCGGTGCATATTCCGCTTCGGCAGGCGGGGTTCCGTTGGGCCTTTGGGCTCATATGTGCTCCGTTAATCTTGCCCCAGGCTTCACCCATTCCAAACTCGACTCGACCTCTCAAATTGCTTTCTTAGATGATACCGAATTTTGTGATGGAAAAAGACAAACAAACAGGCACGTTAAACTTGTGGTTTATATACATAACCACGATTCGCAAAACTGGATTTCTCCACTAAGATCGTCGATGTGAGGTCAGCAGTCACCGCAGCCGGTTAAAAGCACAATTCACTATTATTTTGGGCTATTTAGTTTCAGGCGAGGAATGGAAGTGATACTCGATAAGAACGCAAAAAGGTGGAGAAAACGGAAAATCGGCGTATTTAGAAGAATACTCCTTTGAAAAAGTAGTAAAATTAGGGGTTTGACGAGAATGTGTTCATAAAAGTTGGATGAGAGATGTACTTGGACGAGCTGCTCAAATTGCTTGTGCCATTAGCTAGCTGCAAGAGGCTGTCGCGTGCAGCGCGTGAGTCCGCGAATGGTGCAACTTCACAGCGTCAACAACGCCGTGAAAGCTCGCCCGCGTCGGGCGGGTACGTCGACCGAGCCGGTTTTTGAGCCCTTATCACAATCTACCCGAAAGCGCCCCTTGTGGTATCATTGGGAGTCACAGGACCATCTCAGGGAGAAATCTTAGAAATCTTTTTTATCGGGAAGTGCGTCGTCAACGAAGCCTTTCCGAAAACGAGTGGGTGAAGATTTGATAGGACTATTCATGAACTGAAATAAAGCTGCAACAATTAAATCTAACTGAGCTGAAGTGGGTCAAAACAAGGACATTCGGAAGTAACTATTCTTGATATAGTATCCTAGTCAAATGATCGATGTCGCTCAGCGAAAAACACTCATTGCCATAATCTCGACTTTAAAAGCTATCGAACTTTTTTAACCAGAATTCAGGAAGGACGCTCCTAGCGTTCCAAGGGAAAGGATGAGGGGGGGGGGTAGCCAATCTATCAGGCGATAATGAGCTCTAAAATTATGGGTGCAATGTTTTTCAAGTATTGCACGTTTCGCCCTCGATACTCTGGAAAACAACTTAATGGAGCATGTACTCAAACTCTGAACATTTCCTCCAATGGCTTTCCAAGCCATCAGTGCAGTCTTCATCGAAATTAAAGCTCTCTCCCAGAGGAGAGGATGCCACATACTTCAAGTTAACTCATTGGCGACCGCGCCTTCTGAACTTTTCCGACGTGCAAGATCGAGGGCACCTTTAGCGGGCTACCGCTGTAGCCCAAAGGTGGGCCAGACGGCCCCAGGAGCAATCTAATTCATTATGTTCCCCTCCCCCTGAGAAGAAGTTCTATTAAAATGTTACAGAAGAAGTGACAAGTCACAAAAGTTCACAATATGCACGTGCCATGTTATAATACTCACTGATACTTTGTTATACTTGCAGGTAGTAAAAAGCTGCTCTCAACTCATCTCTGAACCTTCCTGGCATGCCGGATCCAGACCCGACAAAGCATAGTAAAACTTGGGCTGCGCACGAGCAACCAGTTTTTCCTCAAATCTCTGATGAACCGGATAAAGGCAGACAGCATAATTGTGATGAACCTTGTAGAATCCTCGCTCCAAAGTGTTACCGACCATCTATCCCCTCTAGAAACAATTTATGAAATGGAATGGGAATTCGAGAGCGCCGGTGAAGATATACTGGTTGCTACATGAAATGTCTTGGGGTGTAATGTATTGTGTCAATGTATTGTGCCTAAAAATATGACAAGAAGGTCTCGTAAAAATGCAGGAAACTACACGAAAAATTTGTTTCGAATGATTTTGCAAATTATCACATAAAGTATGTGTAATTGTCCGAATAGTAACGCTTGATTTTCCTTCTTTTAGATTATCCTTTCATATACTTCAGCTTTCTCTCATGACTATAGTTGGAAGTTCACGATTTCTTGAATATAGCGTCTCAAGATCCTCTATGAGGTCATGAGCCTAGCTAATACATGAAAATGTGACCCGCCGCTGGGTTAAGTGGTTCCAGGAGCACGATAATGTTTGGCCCGCCTGCGAGCCACGCGGTCGTCAGTGGGTTCAGGAAAATTTCTATTGATAACACAGCCAACAATGTCTGGAATCAACCGAGTTCAGCATTATTACCCTATTGCCTCGCAAAACTCACAGCAAGTGGAATCGATCAAACTCACGTCATGTGATTCATTTTTGTACGGTATATGGTGCCCATTATTTGTAATACTGCGATCAGCGCAATCCAACCAATCCTCACCGAGAAGATCAGCCAACTCTTCGCTACCGTAGCCGACGCCGAGATCCATTTGGATTGACCCGTGCCTGAGACCATCATCTGAAGGATAAACCAGTGCGAAAACCCTAGTTCTTGTCAAAGGTACTGAAAAACAAAATCAGCGCATCTATTACCTTGATCGTCACGAAGAACAGCCATCAAATCCTCAATATCCTCGGAATACCCAACGGGTTGTTGCTGGAAAAGGCGTCCGAATCAGGAAGGGTCACCGCTCTCATCCAAGTTTGCACGCAATACGAGACTTTTTGATGAGAATGAGAGCACGACTTTCCATACAAAAAATGAAAACGTAGAATGAGACCGTAACGCAGCTTTTCGGGATCTCGTTTCAATCACAATCATTCGACAATTGAAATTCATTCAGGAGTTAGAAATCACAACATCCTCTATTTTATTCCCATTGTTCACGGATTATAGCACTCAAATGCGACATCTCGGCAGAATGAGGAGACCACACATATGTCTCACGACACACGAGCGTTGCAAGACATTCAAGACTCAGACATTTATAAAAATTCCTGGTAGAAATATTTACCTTTCACAAGGACATATTCCATTTGAACACACTTCCAGTAATGCCGAGAAATGTGAATATTTTTAAGGTTCAACGTGGACACCAAGCGTCCAAGAAATGAAGCCACCACGAAGGACTAACTACAGCATATGCAATACCTGTTCATAGCTTTTAGAACTATTCATCAATTGCGCTGATTGATGCACTGCAGTGAATCCATTTTCTACGGAGGCTTGTGTGATGATCTGTTGTGGCTGAGGAACGCTTTGTTGTTTTGAGCCTTCGAGTTCCACCTCAGAAAGCTGCATCTGAAACTAATTACATCTGGTTTGCTCTATTGACGTTTTCACAAACAATAAATCTTGCAATAGAATAACCAGCACGATCGCCTGGTTAACGCCGAATTCCCTCTTTCCTGTCACAAAGGTGGAATGACTGATGGAATCAGGATATTAGTTTTGCCATCACTAAAAAGGCAACGTCCACGAATCTCATTCTCTGAAAGTTTTCTTTCACTGAGAAATCTCCAGCCGACGGGCGACGTCTCTTGGCTGATATTCATCGGCAGAGGTTTCAACACATGATTGGCCCCTGGAAGAACGCCTGAAAAGCTACTTACATATCGGTACTCATGGAACGCAATGGAACGAAAAGAGTGAGAGACTGCCCGAGTTTATCATATCCACCCAAACCTACCCATGGTAATTCGCAGTTCCAAGAGCTCTCTTATTTGCGATGGACTTGGAAGTCTCCTGGCACACAGTTATATAATGAAAAAGAACACATCATGTCTGGTCAAGTTTTGCCTGACTGATTGTCGCTCTTCTTCCGAAGATCCTCATAAAATTGATCTCCTCGCTGTATTCTGTTTTTTTTTGTGTAAAATCAGAGATAGCTGCGAATTTGGCAGACGGAGCCACAAGACCGTGATCGACTGGGACAACTTCGCTTCTTTTGAAAATTTCTAACAAAATTTCGTCATCGACGTCGAATCTGGTCGGTTCACGGTAGTGCCAGGAAAGTAGAGTGTCTACAAGTAACGGAGAGATGTCTCCCTTCAAAGCTTTCTAGACGATATGCTAGGATAGTATCGCGGCAGCTACAGGCAATTAACAACAAAAGTCCGAACTTGCGAAGTTATGACGGCAATCGATGAAGAAAGATCTAATAGAAGGGAGAGTAGCAGCTCTTGTCCGAGCCTTCAAAACCTGGAAAAGGATTCACGAAACCCACCGGAGTTCGTCAATTACAAGACCAAGATGACTTTCCCTAGTGGCCCTGACGGTACAATAACTGCATATCGAAAGGCAATGAAGAAGGTTATCTGCTACTTGTATTTGAATTTCTTCGACAGCCATGTCTACCTGCCTACCTACGGCAGAACGGATATGTCGTTTCTTCAACTTACCTTTCCAAAATGCGGCATGCCATCACGCCGATGAAGAACTGTACGGCGCCCGGTCAATATAGGATCAAACCAGAACACGTGAAGAGTCTACAACCAGTAATCGTCAGAACTCTGACTAGGCTCTTTACGCGGTGCCTGTCAGAATGCAAAATGCTCACGTCGTGGAAGACTAGCAAGACTGTGTTGCTGTATAAAAAGGGGGATCCAGACGATATTGGGAAGTATCGCCAAATCTACCTGCTGTCTGTAATCTATAAGGTTTTCACTCGCGACATCTTAAACAGGATTGGCGGAATATTAGATGAAAGACAACCATGCGAGCGAGCAGGGTTTCGGACAGGGTTCGGCACAATCGATTATAACCGTACTCTTGCAAGACTCATTGATGTATCGCGAGAGTATAAAATGCCGTTATGTCTTACGTTCGTCGATTTGGAGAAAGACTTTGACACCGTTGAGACAGAAGCGGTAATTGGAATTCTGGGCGACCAGGGTGTTCCTACTCAATATATGAGGATGCTTTGTAAGCTCTGTAACAACTTCACGACCAGATTTCACCATTCTACAAGGAAATCACTATCAACGTGGAGAGCGGTGTCCGCAGGGCGATACCATCTTGCCCAAATTTTTCAATGCCGCTCTCGGGAATATCATGCCTCATTAGGAATGGGAAGACTTGGGAGTGAAGGTCGACGGTCGCGACCTACATCACATCCGCTTTGCAGACGACGTCGTGCTTATAACACCGAACATAAAGCAGGCAGAAGGAATGCTGGCCGGGTTCGACAATGCTTGTGGAAAGATCGGCTTGAGACTGAACTTAACGAAGGCAATGTTCACGGAAAACGGATTGGTACCTGGTGCTTTCGGTCCCGATAAGATAAAAAAAACGTATGAAGGGCCTTCTGCCAACTTTAATCAGACTCTAGCCAGGCTCTCCATGCGGTACCTGTTAGAATGGAAAATTCCCACCTGCAGAGATCTAGAAAGACTGTATTTTTTCTATGAAGGGAGACCCAGCCGATGTTTGCAACAATCGCTCAACCTGATTGTTGTCCGTAATTCATAAAATTTTCACGCTAGTCATTCTAACAGGATGAGCGGAGTGCTAGATGAAGGAGAGACATGCGAGCAGAAGGGACTTTGCGAGAGTTTAGAACATCCGATCACAACCACACTGTTACAAGATTCGCTGAAGTGTCACGAGAGCACAGGTTTGTCTGACGTTCATTGATTTCAAGATGGCCTTAGATATGGTCGAGTCAGAAACGGTAATTTGAACCCTGGGCAATTAGGGTGCTCCAACTCAATGTTTAAGAGTGGTTCGGGAGTTCTAATGTAAGAAAGATTCACGACTAGGACTCCGCTGCTCTATAAGGCATCATTGCCAGCGTGAAGAGAGGAGTTTGAGAGAAGATACCACCGTGAAGGAATTTCCAGTGCCGCTCTTGAGATTGTCATGCGCCACGGGGGATGGGAGCCATGGGTATGGCGTATCTATTTCGTAGAGTTAACATGACGAACGATTCAGCTCTAGGGCTTAGCATAAGAATGAGCGCAAGGTAGTGAAGAAGAAAAGAACATCAGATCGACGCTCACCTTTTCGACACTGCGTTCCTTCCCGCTTCGACGTACGCTTTAAAATTTTGGGGTCTACGCAAGCAAGAGGAACATGCTTTCAGCGTTGGTTAAAGGCACAATTCACGACAGAAGCTGTCTCAGAGTTCTCCCTCTAGGGATACCCAGTGGCTCCCAAGAGTAACAGGAAGGGTGCTGTCGAGTCCAAAAACCCAACAGCTAGGGCATAGTGGGAGCCTCGTTACAGGATCGCCTGGATGCTCCGCTTCTCGACCGATACCACGTCAGACGAGTGTCGAGGCGATACAGATTGCAATATTCGCTTCAGGACCCACACACAATCAGCTGATGGCCGAATAATGAGGCGGTCGTTTTTCTCCTAATCGTATATTCTCTGTTACTCTTTTTGCTGGTGCGACCCTTACTTAACTTTCGCCCAAGAGACTAGAAAAGGTGGGCAATTTTTGCTATGTTAACTTATGCTTATGAGTAAATGAATTTTAAGATACACTTTCGCTTACTGTGATCTATTCACACCAGGACCCACACGTATGCAATGACACACATTATATAGCTCGTCTAAACACCCCTTCATTCATTTTTCTGGTCTTCTTCTCGTCCAGCACCCTCTTTAACGATTTCTTCAAGCCTTTTTGTCACTTTGGAAGCGCCAGATCACGCACTTCCTTTGCCTTCATCGAACTATTTTCCACCTTATCTTTCATTTTTCGTCATATCCTGCTGTGCTTGCTGTGGAGAGGACGATGCTTGGAATCCCCTTTAGGCGTAAGTGTAGAAGGGAATTCGGAATTCCAAGATCTGTTAATGAACGAAGGTTAGGAACGTCGTCGCTCGAACACGGAATCGAAAATCAGGTGGGCCCTACACGTTCTACGATATTGCGATAATCCTTGCACCAGGGCGGTTACCGACTGGATCCTTCGGGACGTCAAAGCAGGACGGTTGCAAGTGCGATGGTCAAACTTATCCAAAAATGCTCTTGGCGAGAGTAAAGTCATGCCTCGCGTCCTTCGAGCGATGGCGATCACTGACTGCTTTGGCTTGCTACGAGGAAAAATGTAAACGTAATTGGTGTTCGCTTAAAGGAATCAGTGATCATCGGTAAGACAGGTGATAGAAAGGATAAGGGAGAGAGTCTTCGAGCGTAAACCAGCCCTATTGGAAGATGCGCTCCTGTATTCGACTCCATTCAAAATCGCAGTGGCGTATTGAATGCGTGTGTGGCCCACACAATGACTTGCCTTGGCCAGCCGATATAAAAGTCAGTGCTCTTATCCTTATGAAAAAGTGTGGTACCAGCTTAACGAGCCCGGACGGATCCCGGAGGGACGGAAGGCTCAGATGGTGTTGACGATAATGATACGGGATTCGAACCCGTAACCATGCGACTGTAAAATGCACCGCTTGCGACTACACCACCTCCGCCCAAGTTAGGCGATACAGGTGAATTTCAGAGGGCAAAATTTTTTCATTATTTCATTATCTTCTAATCACACCATATAATTGCAATCTCCCAAAACTACTCTCGTTACTACAGGAGAAAAGGGACTCAATGAACTAGCCTTCTAGTTTCTTTGACCGACTTTTCTCAGGTTTTGTTGTTTTCTGACATCCGTTTCTGTCAGAAACACTCATACACATTACATTCGAAAGCTTCTGCCAACGTTTGCCAAAATCATAAACCAAATTGCTATCGGAAGAAAAACTTTTGTGACTATTTGCATGAACTTCACCCACCCTTCCAGCTCCTACGAACACCACATAACTTTACACTACATTTTTGTATAATGACCTCATACCTGTACATCAACTTTTTTCTGAGTTTCGAGCTACAACCGAGTTATGAAATTCTCCAAGTTCCAGAGCACGCTTTATTCTCAGTAGGTGCGGTTCCTCAAATCTCCAGTAGGCTCAGCACAGCATGAACACCATGTACTCAGGGTTTTATTTGGTAATGAAGTTCGATTAAAACCGACTCACGAATTTTCGCTGTCCACTCCATGTGCGATCCTGTATCTTGACTTTACACTAACGAAGTTTTGATTGAACAATTAATTTTGACCTCGACATCGCTGACCTTAGAGGACCTTTGACACTGGCTATCATGAACAAGGCTTTGTTCAGTGAATATGTGCACCACACGTTTTCACTCACAACCCACCCCTCCTTATCCTATTGTCATTCCTCGCCGAATTCCTTGGAATCAGTTTAACAGAACGGCTCTGAATTAAAAAAAATCTGGCGGTATATTCACTCAAGACTGAAATTGCCTATTTTATCTATTCTGCTGAAAATTTGAAGTGATTGCGTCTTCTGGCTCTTTTGCACGGCAGCCACACTTTCCCTGTGCCTATTATAAGCCCTTCTCTGAGCTGTGACTGTGTTCACCATAATATAATAGAAAGAATCGCGTGACAGACAGGCTGTTGCCACTGCTGCTGGCACACAATTACTGCCTGCTGAGATTCTTGAATGCTATTCGTCAAAGAGCAATTGATACTCTGAAATACGTGTAATCCACCCCACTCGTATAACTTGCCCACTAGGGTTGCGACAGTAATCTCTGAACTTGAAACACGAAGCTACCTGAGCTGTATCTGAGCCATTCTCCACTGCCCGAGACGCATCCTCAAGAACACTTTCAAATACTGCCTCCATATCGACTGTTTGATGCTTGCCATCTTGCGTTAAACGTCTAAAGAGACTCATCTATCGTGCAAGAGAGTGAAGTAATTTCAAATGGAGGTATACTGACCGATTTCGATGATAAGCAACAGTCTGGTCAGAGTGCAGTTGCATACTGTAGGCATCACATATGAAAACAGACTGAAAATGATACCCGATTATAGAAGTTGCAATAGACCAGAAAACGCTAAGCGACAGCAGTCTATTCAGTACTAATTAGGCTTATCTTCAGGAGTAAAAAACCTCACGTTCGATCTCAAATAACTTTCACGCATGACTGTCTTTGAGCGTGTTTGACAACATTTTGATCACTTCCTAGCAGATATAGCGATTGAGCTCCCCAGAAGAGCAAGTGTTAGAACTGAGTGGAGAATCCGATGGCGGAAGCTGCACCTAACGAAGTAGGAAGGATCTCAAATAAAGGATACTAAAAGCTGTCTTTCATACCCTCGAAATCAACTATGGAAGAGACTGGAAAGTTATCCTACAGTGTGCTAGGGAAACTCGAGGGGGGGAGGGGAGATTTGAGGAGAACTAGGAGGTCTTAAGAGTCGTCAGGCTGAAGAGAACTGTGTGTAAAGAGTATTCTGATTGCCGTGCTCAGCTAGAGGTTTTACAACTTTTGAGATTGAGAAAGATCTAAATTTTTTCTGAATTCTCCCCCGAATACGATCCACTCACGTTTCGATTTATCTCTATTCCATTCTTTTGCTTCCTGCCGTAGCTCCTATTCCTGCCCTCATTCTTCAACCGCCACGTTCTATCTTACAAACGCATTAGCTTAACCTGTGGACCGCATGTTTCTGGCATAGGTCATACAGTTTGCCAGTGCGCCCTTGGAGGGAACGGAGTTTTCACCAACCTCGGACGAGAGAGGTGAAGCTTCTCCATCCTGTAGATTTCTACTGGGCGGCACTCAACTTGCAAAATATCAAGAAGGTCAGCCACCCTATTTTTAAGATCCTTCTGGCGCTCCGAGGGTTCAAGCTGATGTGGCGCCTCGTCAATACCGCTCACCACCATGCTTCTAGATCGCATTTCAGCCTCAACATGTTCAAATATTTCATTTGAAACTTTTCCCGAAAGAACGTTGAGCATTTTGATGATAACCGGGTCGGTATTGCGCTTGTGGAGCGCTTCAAAAGTCCACTCACGCTCAGCTTTCTGAGGTCCTTTTCATCGGGACCGGCCTCTAGATTGGAACCTCCTACGTCTGAGCCACCTCTATTCTCTTGGGCCAAATTGTCTGGAACAGTTTCCCTGCGCCTAGTTTTACGATCAACCTTGGGGGTCATGATATGGTAGATAGAATGACGAGGGATCGATATATGAAGAGGGTGCCAAAGAAAATCAGAAGAAATTGAATTCTTAGGTTGGTTGATGTGTTACAAGGAACTACAGACAGAGCAAAACAGAAAAGAAGTTAGGAGGGCAACCAGCAGGAAGAAGCGACAAGCAGAAACTCAAATAAAAAGGAAAAGAGAGCATATTGAGTGGAAAGTAAACGCAGTCACCGGTGATTATGAGATTCCCGAGGACTGTAAAGCATTTGACAAAGTACGTGATTCGAAGCAGATTGTCAAACTTAAAAGCCTTAGGGTAAATGGGCAGCTTTGGAGTGGTTCAAATTATATTTGAATAATCAATTTCTGACTGTTAAGGTGGGCCACAACTTCCCTGAGAGACAGCTATTTCAGTGGTGTCCCTCAGAGAAGTGTTTTTTCTCCCTTACTCTTCCCTAATTTACACCATCGATCTTCCGACGTTCATTAGAGCCTCGATGGATAACGAGGTTCAAATGTACGCAGACTATATAAAAATTTATGCTCTTACGACAGAGACATTCGGTCGGATGCCTATCAGCCTTGAAGCAGTCGATAGTGAAAATGAAAGAATGGGATATGGCATGGGGTTAATCTCTCAATCTGAACATATGTGCTGTACTCCATATCGGAGAAGGAGTTGATACAGACTATTACAGTGACGGTATTAAAATGAGAAAATGTGACTCTTAATCGGTAAAAGATTTTAGAGTTAATATGAGTTGAAAATTGAAATTTCTGCACACTCAGAAAAGATGTCTAAAAAAGCGTTCCGTCTATCTCATCTTCCGAAAATTCCTGAGCAGAGACTCAAAAGCGGTACTTGCTTTACAGAAAACTGCTTTCCTTTTGCATCATCTTGAGTACTACTCCTCCGCATGGAATACGGTCTGCAGAAAAGATATACTAAAATTGGAGAAAATACAACGGACTTTTACAGGACTACTTTATTCCAGATGTTTTTAATTTGTTATATTAATTTCTTAGACAAAAAGGTTGAAAACGCTTGACCTAAACTAACACAGCTAACACAGTAAGCAAATCGGAGCCGAGTTGACCCTGATATCGTATCTTAAAGAACGATACTAAATTAAAAACAGGCAAATATTAAGGGTTCCGCCAAAGCAGTGATAGAACAAGTTGAACCTGCACAATGACAAGATTTTGAGGGAACACCATGCCTTACTGTTCAAGAACTCTTCTACCGGACTGTGAGGTCGCTTGACTGCCTCCCGACTGAGTTGCTCCGATCACCAAGTGGTAAGGTATTCGGAGACAAACTGAGGGAAGTTGATCTTGGAAGAGCGCTAAGTTTTGATTTCTGATCTGAATAAAGTTCAATGATTCAGGATTAGTCATCAACCTGTGAATTTTTCAGAATAGCCTTTCACCATTCTTTAAGACTATGAGAAACTTACACCCGTTTTGCGCATTCACTTCCAGGACGAAAGCCCCTTCCTTTTGTAACCCCTTGCGATATTTAAAAGAATTGGCGGGATTATACATGATACATAGGTGCTCTGGACCTTAGGATGACTAATTGTTTTCCCTTTCGAATGGTGATTCGCTTGGATAGCCCTCCTCCTTCCCATCTTTTCCTACCGTCCGAAAAATAGCGAGGAAGTCGCGCAAGGATCCTGGAGACTATTAAATCGGATTTACCGATGACCACCTCATTTGTTGAGCTGAGGACCACCTTGATAAATAAGCCATCCTTTAAGACGGCAAGCTATTTATTTTGGATATTAGCCTCTAGAATGTGATGACTTTCGAGAACTTCTTCATTCTACTGCAAGGGGAGTCGACTATCATGCCTGGCTGCTGGAAAAGACGGAAGTTCAGCTCGGCTTGCGACTTGTGTGACAACAACCCTTTCATTTTTGATTTTAATTTTGAGTATATACATCTGCACGTTGTATGCATTCCTACACTTTTCAGTCAATTACATTTTATGGTGGAGTTTTCTGTCCTTGAACTTGGGCACACATTTTAGTGTATGAAATGACTGAATATATTGATATGAGGAATATTGAGATCAAGTGACAATATGACTATGGACAATGTGATGAAGCGGAAGATGTCGACGAAGAATACGAAGAAGATGGAGAAGATGATTAAGATGAAGAGGATGAACAAGATAGAAATTATGAAGAAAGAGCTGAAGAATTCGAAGAATGCGGTGAGGAAGTTGAAGATTATGAAGAATATGAAGCATGAGAAGAAGAAGATGAAGAAAATGATGAATGCGGTGAAGAAGTTGAAAACTGCGAAGAACATGATCAATGAAGATCAAAATTATGAGAAGAACAAGAAGATCAAGAAGAAGAACAAGAAGAACAAGAACAACAAGAAGAACAAAAAAACAAAAAGAAGAACAAGAAGAACAAGAAGA